CAGCTTGTACCATCCCTGGCATCCCAGTGGCAAATATTGACCACTTCTGTCGCTCTGGCAGCCTAGCTAGGATTCCTGATGGAACATAAGAGACAGAGTAAATCAAGTGAATGTGGCACTGAGGGATCTACCAGAAGTAGCTTCCCCTCATGGAGGAACCCAGGCCCAAATGCCCAGAACCCAGTTCTGAAATGCCTGATGGAAGGGTTAAACAGCAGGTGAGGTTACCTGTCCTGTGGGCCTTTAACGCCTAAGGCTAAATGAAGAACCCCTTTGGATAAAGACCAGCAAAGGTAAATAACAGGTTGCAGATGGGTGGTGGATCCAGACATATTGCAGTGGCTGGTTTTGCTGGACCCAGGATCAGAAATCCAGCAGCTGCTGTGAGTCCCTTCTCCTGAAACAGAAGTGACCTCTAAAGTTCCCCACTCACCTTCCCAGCCCTACAGCGCAAAGACCCTGCTCCCTGCAGAATGACCAGAATCAAAGACACACCCAGTCATCTTGTGTTACATGAAATGAGTCAGTGACTGAGCCTAAAGACAGCCAGCAATCCAGAGGGGATATACACCAAAATTAAGGAAACTTACCATGCTGGGGAGCACCTGTTCTACCACCATAAGAAATTGTCTGTGAGCTCACTGTTGGAACAGCACTCCCTTCTTTTCAGCACCACTACTCACTTCAGGAATATATGAACTTACATTGTTTTACAAAAAATAATGCTCATTCTTTTAAGAATCCCAATAGCATCCCATCATATTTTAACGTGTCAACCCTCCCACCCCCCAGCCAACAGGGCTGGAGTGGGACTTCATTAGCATGCTACTGCAGAGGTCTGGCTTGGCACATAGGGGTAGGGCACAGGTAAGAGGCAGGGGAAGAGAGTGGGGTGCAGATCCTTTCTGCCAGCTGGGTCTCCTACACCTACACAAATGCCTTTGCCGCCCTAGCACAGGCAAGTCCCTTTCCAGGTTATAGGAGAAGGATGCTCTTTATTCAGGGCATCTGGGACTCAGTTACAGCATCACTGAATTGAGAGAAGTCCCTTCCAGCAACTGATCAGCCAAGAGGGAAGGAGAAGATAAATGGATAGGACTGAACTATTCTTGAAAATGACCACACCTTGAAAAGGCAGCAGATAATCAGAAGGTGGTGGATGGCACTGAGTGAGACAAGATCAGAGAGAGGACAGCAGCTATCCGCAAGTTAGGCTGATCTTGGAAAAATAAATCCCACCCTCTGAAACACTCTAAGGGGTCTTTAGGTGGCACCTGAGCAGGGGTACCCTTTCCTGCAATTCTCCCCATTCTTTCCACTGAGAATGGAAGACTTGCCTTATTCTGGATGGGGAACACTTGGTGGTGGTACAGCTACCAGCCTCCAGCCCAGGACCCAGAACTGGCTGGACCTCAAAAGGTATGGCCCATTGATTCCTCTAGGCCAGACCAGCTGGCTAAGACTGATACCAGGCACCAAAATTGGCATCATCTGGACCTTGGGTAGTAGCAGTCTTACGGTATCCAGAAAGAGTCAGCCAGCTTACAGGTTTTGTCTACACTGGAGCTGCAGCAGGGCCAGAGTTATTGAGTTGAGGCCATTGCCTACTGCCCTGGCCTTTGCCTGCTAGGATCTGTCTCCCACCCTCACATGAACCTGAACCCATGTTCAGGTTCCTCAGTTCCAAATCAGGAGAAATAGTAAAGAGGCAGAGGAAATTCTCTCTAGGATCCTAGAATGCTGGCCAGGTTGGAATGTTAGGGAGGCCCAGATGGAGACTGAAAGTGAAGGCAAGGGCTAGAAGTGGGAGCAGAATCAAATGCCTATGCCACAGCAGGGCCCCCTGGTTCAACTCACCATATGAGGAATCTTCATTCCAGCGAGTTCATGCCAGGCAGACTTACTGGTCTCTAGTTCTGCTTTTCTCTTAAGTCAGGCAGGAACGTCACCTAGAGACAGATAGTGCCCCAAAGTGCCCTCTCCAAACCACCACTGCCACTGTCACTGCTGCACACCCTCACCAAAGGGCTGTAGCACCACACAAGTAAGCTGAGCCTTCCTTACCCTGGACTGGCAAAAGGTATCTTGACAGGATGCAATTTTCCAAAATGAAAGGATGAGGATAGAAGCCCACTCAGTGGCCCCCTCACAACCAGCCTCCTGAGAAGGGGCTGACCAGAGGGCAGGATGCCCAGAAAGTAAGGAGCAGGGGAGTGGGGCGGGGCAAACCAAAGTTAGAAAGTCTGGATTCAAGGATCTTCTGTGACTTCCAGCACCTCCTGGAAGGGATCTTCACTGGATTAGGGCTTGTGCTTGGTGAGGAGATCCCGGCTCCACTCCCACCCCACCCCCAAATGCAGTCTGGTAGCCTGGTAGGCAGAAGCCCTAACTTCTTCACCAGATTCCTGTGCACACAAGCACCCTGGGCCCAGGCCTGCGAAAAGGAGAGAGCTGGAACTTTTACCCAATCAGAATCCCTACTGTAAGAATGAAGAGCAAATGTGAGAAAGGAACACTAAATAGCTCAGGAGAAAGAAGACAGGGAACTCCCCAGAGTCAACAGAGGCTGGTCCCAAGGGGCTCTCTAGCAACCAGAGGCTGGTAGAAACCCAAACCTTCCCAGGTGCAGGCCTGAGGGACTTTGAGGGAGGCCACCAGTCTATTCCCAGAATGACCCTGCCTGCTCGCCCACTAGTACTCCTGGAAGCCTAGCCATGGAAGAAAACACCAGGATGGAGACCTGAGGCACTGGCACAGAAAGATGCCATTAGTGAGAAGAAAAATTAAAACAGTGAAAACAGCCTGGCAGGGTCCAACAGGTGCTGTTCTATCTTTGCACAGGAACCCAGGCCCCCAATGTGGCAGGTGTAACTGAGAGGACTTCGGGAGGGGATATTAAGCAGAGTGCTTGTTTTCTGCTTGTATTCCCATACTAAACATATCTTACTTGAATAAAAAAATAAACTTGAGAGTCAGATAGGAGGAAAACTGAAATGCAGACCACGGGTGGCCAGTGGGAGAAGTGACTAACATACTAGGGTAGAATGGGGTGGGAAGACACTGAGGATTCTGACAGCTTCCCAGAGGTCAGGACAGAAGTGTAAGGCTCTGCACACCTGCTGTACAGATCTCTTCAGTCAAGCTCAGTTCCTGCTGGGTTCACTTTCTCCAGGGCTGTCCTCTAATTCCATAAACTTACTTTTTTGCCTGTTCTACACACAGTCCAGCAGCCTGGTGCCTGACAGCAATGAACTTGAGCATCTAGTTAGTCTCCATAACTCTCCCTCTGTATACCCCGTCACATATCCAAGGTTCAGTCCCCCCTCTTTAGCCACTCACCAAAATCTGCTTTGTGGCTGCTGCACTTCCTTGCTCCTACCTTTCTTTCCCTGCTTTCAGTTAGCCTGGACCAGCAGGCATTTTATCTCTTGCCTTCTTTACCCTCCTCTTTTCTTAGGTCCCAAACATAGGCATCATCTGCCCACCTCCCTTTTGGCCACCTACCTCTGAGACTGGACATGTGCACACATCCAACTAGTCACATGCACCCTGGATGAACGCTAAGGCACACACACACACACACACACACACACACACACACATTCATGTACCTACATACCCTTCGCAGGAATCACGGAGACTGCACCAGCTCACAGACACGATGATGACACAGACACGAGCGCATATCCACAGCCTGGCTCTCACAGACGCCTTTAACCGGATCTGAGGACAGAAGAGAGTACCCTCGCTAGCACCTGGCTCATAGCCGAAGTCCAGATACAGGAAGGAACGTCTGGAGTTAAAGTAGTTAGGCAAGGGTTCACAGACCCTCTGATAAGCAATGCTTTTGGGAACACACCTCGGCTGGAGAATCTTTCTTCCAAATTCCTTTTCTACATCCAAGTAAGAGAAATTAGGGTCTAACACCTGTCTAGAAAGAAGCTAGACTCTCCAGCAAGTGCTGCCCACACATATGCCTCAGAGAACCAAGCGCAGTGCCTAGCTACCCTCGCTGCTCTGCTTAACAGCCGGATCCTGCCGCCTGCAGCCGTGCTCACCTAGGCGCGATGCTTCTCCGCTGACAGCGGGGGCGAGTCGCCAAGGCCAGACCAAGGAAGAGGGAGCTCCTTGAGAGAAAACGCAAATAAATACTAGAGCTCTATCCCAGGCCTAAGGTGCAGCCTCCTGAGTAAAGACTTCGCAGTAGTAGGGGAGTCTGGCCTTTTCAGTTTACCAAAATCTCCTCCTAACTCTGGACTCTAGACCTACTAGTGTGCACTCTGTCTCCACCCCCAGCCTCACTCTTCCAGGCTCTTTAGTCCCTCTTCTAGGTATTGTCCTCCCCATAGGGCCGGGAGGGGCTTGGGTTCGGTGTTCGGGAGTGCGGTTGTGGGTAAGAGTCTGAGGAGTGGCGCACCGACCCCAGCGCGGCGCCCATCTCCACCCCACCCCCGCCCGAAGCTCCAACAAGGCCAACCTCCACTTCTCTGCTGGTCTCACCCGATGGCCCTCCTCACGCACTTTGACTATTGATCGAGCGGAACAGGAGAGCCGAGGCCGTGCTTCCCAGGGGTTGAGGCCCAGGGGTCGAGGGAGCTGGAAGAAGAGCAGGCTGGGGCGATGGTGTTGGGGAAAGGAGGCTGATAAACTTTAGGAGAGGTGCGGGGCGTTGCTCTGTACTCCGGAGCCGTCCCAGTCTCCCTCTGCCGGGCTTTGGAGCAGGGCTGGACTTGGAGGTGGAAGAGTGGGGACGCCGACCCCTCTGCCTCCCGGTCGCTCTCTCTCACCCTCCTACCCAGGGCGCAGAGCCCTAGCGAGTCTCCGGGACTCAGAGAACCCAGACTCAGGCCCAATCAGCAAGGAGGGGAGGAGCGGCCGCGTGGGGCGGGGCCTGAAGGGGAGCTGTGGAGAGGGGGGTGCGAGGGGCGGGGAGTCGTGGGCTCTGCCAGCCCAGGCTGGCTCGGCGGCGGCTAAGGCAGCAGTGGCGGCCGGCATGGGTGATGGAGGCGCCGAGCGAGTCTGGCGGCGGCGGTGGGCGCAACGGAGACCTCGGTGGGGAGGAGGGCTTGCGAACTGAAGGAGGTGGCCGAAGCCCAAGGGAGATTGCGGGGACCTCGGCTTCCAGCCCCGCCGGCTCCAGAAGGGGCAGCGCCGACAGAGACGGGCAGCCTGGGCCCGGCGAGGCAGACCACTGCCGCCGCATCCTGGTACGAGGTAAGAGGACAGTCCGCGGCTCTGGCCCACTAGGCACCCACCGTCCCCTCACCCGGGCCTCAGACCTTTGTGCAGCCTCACCTCTCAACTCGTTTCTTCATTCATTCATCCTTCAGCCGTTCACTCAGCAAGTATTATTTTGAGAGTCTATTGTGTGCTGGACACTGAGCCGAGGGTAGGGGACAAAGCAGCGAATGAAGAAGTCCCCGTTTCTTGGCCTTATCCTCTCGGGCCCGCCTCCTCGCCCTAGATCCGCCCGGGCTGGTGACTGAGGTGGGGACAGAAACGGGTCTGGGAGAATGCTGAGAGCTCTGCCCTTGCCCCGTGTCCCCCGGGGCAGGTGGGGAGAAAAGCGTCACGCGCGGTCCGCGGAGACCGGACTTGGAGGGACCGGAGTGGTAACCCCAGGAGGAAAAGGCCAGGGCTCCTCTCAGTGGCCGGAGCGCTCCCTCGCCTCCTGCCCAGCCTTGTTCCTTCTGCAGCGAGCGGGACCCGCGCCGGCTGCCCGCGGGATAGAGCTCCGGCACTGGAGGGTGGCGTGCGCCGCGCTCGCCTGCCTGAGCCTCTGTTCTGGTTCCCACTTCCTCGCGGCCCAGGCCCAGCTGGCCTTCTGTGCCACTTTCTCTTGTCCTTCTTTCTCGTTCTCTCTCCCTTGCCCCTGGCCCGCCTCGTTCCTTTCCTGGTCCTTCTTCTCTGTGCCGAACTCTCCTTCCCAGCGCTGTAGCGTCCTGCGAGGAAGAGGCTCCCAGCCACCCACCGCCAGTCTCTTGAGAAGCTGTGGGCTCCTCTTTCTCTCAAATTGAGCCCCCCGGAGATGGGAAGAGAGGAGAGTCTCCTGGGCCTTGCCCCCAGCCCGTGGCCAGGCCGGACCAAAGCCTGAGGTCTATTGCCCCCAGACATCCCCGCGTTCACGGTAACATCTCCTCTAGTCTAGGCTCCTTCCTCTGCTGCTCTCTCAGCTTCCCCTCACTGCATCTTTCCAGCCTCTTCTTCTGGTGCACTCATTTCAGGGTGCGACCTGCCAGGGCTGATTTTCTCCTCCTCTGCCAGGGGCCTTCCAAGTTTATTGAAACTGGGCTCTAGAATACCTTGGCAGGTAACAATCTCCCTGCAGTTGCAGAGTGTGAGTGGCTCTGGGCAGGGAAGACGGGGCTGGGGTCAAGCAGGGAGGTGGTCTGAAAGGAAGGCAAGAAATAACTGCCTTGCATGCACCCTCAGGGTCCTCGGCTTCAGGAAAAGACTCCTGGCACCACTGTGTGGCCACAGGCGATTGAGGGCCCACTACCCAGTCAGGGCACAGGCATGGGTCAAGGCAGTTACACCATTAGAATTCCAGCAGGTGTGTGGACCTGTTGAGTTCCTGGGGTTGTTACTTCCATTCTATAGGCTGTGGGCTGTCCAGAATGCAAGGTGTGAACAGCTAGTTTAGTTTCATTAAGAGAATCTGTAGGGCTTCCAGAGAAGGAAAAAATGAGTCCCCCAAGCCCACACACTCCAATGGGAAAGACCTCAAGTCCCTACCTGTGATACTCATCACATCTTCTCCTTCTGCCAAGGCAACTGTAAATTTTTAGTCCATCCACCACGTTCTCTACTTTATTAACCTTATATATAGAACAAATAATCTTTATACAGATGTTAAAGAAATAGCCTCCAGACTCTTAGAAGGTGGGAGTGAAAAGTGAGCCTTTACCCTGTAAGGTGGGGCCTCCCAACCCAGGCTGAGACAGAGTCTGCCTACACAGGTGGCTGTGTACATCTTCAGGGACTGTATTTTTATAAATTTATATACACACGTGACAGTGTTGTTCCATTTATAAAATATAATGGAAATATTAAATACAATGCACAGAGGATCTATTTACACATCTAATAGAAATGGAGACAAATGGAGGCCTCATAAATCCCTCTGCCCAGCTCCATTTAATGACAAGGAGGTTATTACAAGGCTAAAATGCCTAGGGTATCATTTACCACTAATCCCTCCTAGTTAGGGTCACTTGTGTCAGTCACAAGCAGCCCCACCATGGCTCAGGTAGAGGCTTTGATAAATGGAACAGGCCTGGCACTGGCAAAGGGGAATCTGAAGTGCTTTGGCCCCGGAATGAATATCCCTCCCGTAGGCTCTAAGTACATTTTGCCCTTGACTTCTCAAGAGGTCATCTCTTAAATCCTCCTTTTTGGAGGAAGCCATTAGAAGGAAGATATTTCAACTCTGCCCCTGGTTGCTGTTAGGGTAAAGCTCTGCTAATAAAAATCCCCATTCCTTCAGGGTTTTTTCATCCTCCTTTTGGTTCTGCACTCCCTGCTAGTGAGGCTTCTACCTGCCCGCCCCAGGCAGCACGTCCAGGAAAGAGTCCTACGGCTCTAAGTAGAAGAGCTTGGGTGGAAGAACTAAGCAAAATTGGTTTAGAGCACTAGGACTGCAGCCCTTTGAGCCTGAACCAGTTCCTTTGTCTCTCTCTGTCTCTATCTCCTTCCCCAGTACAAAGGGACCCGTAGCCCTTGCCTTGAAGAGTGCACTAGGAATCCAAGGATCCTGCAAAACAGACAACACTGGCAGGATCTCCCTTCTTATTTGTTGAAGGAAGGAGGGCGTGGCTCATTTCTAGTGGGTGAGGCAGTGGGCCTTAATTGTCAGAGGCCTGTCCCAGCTCACTGCCCACCCCCACCCCGCCCTCTGCCCAGGTCTCCTGGCCCTAGGCTCAGCAAATACCTCGGAAAGTAAGTAGCCTAGGGCTCAAGAGAGTGATGGAGACTGATCAGCTGCATTTTGCAGACCACACAGTGAGGTCCTCCCCAGTCCCTTTAGGGGATACGTGGCCACTAGGCTGCACATCCTGCCTCAAAATGGAGGCCGCTTCTTACACACCAGCACAAGCACGGCCACTGACATAAGAGGCATAGGTGCAGAAGAATCCCTCATACTCCACCTCGGACACAGTGAGGCGTCTACCTAGGCAGCACAGCCTGCCAGGCCACCCCACATTCCCCGTGCCCACCCGGATAGCTGTTCAGGGCTGTGGATGTGAGGATCCTTTTGTTTTACATTTGGAAAGGGCAGACAACCTCCGGTAGTAGGCTACCAGAAAGAACGGTCCTCTAAGCCTTGGCTCTAATTTTGCTGTGCAGTGACCTTTCCGGTGGAGCCGGATGTGGATCGCTCTGACCCAAATTCCCTGCAACCTCACAATCCACACTCCCACATGCTCCTTCAGATGAGCCCATGGGCTTCCCAAAGTAATCCGACCGGAATTCAGCAACCGATCTGGATAGGTCGGGAATGCTTCTCAGTACTTTTATGGATAATGCGCGGCATGGGCCTCGGTTCACCCAAAGCTGCCCCTCTGTGCTGGACGCCTCTTCCGCCAATGAATCCCCATTCAAGACCCACCTTTCTCAGCACCCTCCTTCTGAAAGCGGGAGGGCGGAAGGGCGAGATTCTGGTAGGATACTCTCCAGGAGTGACTCACGCTTGGAATCCCAGCGATGGAAACGCTTTCATCAGGTGGCTGGGGCTGAAGAGAAGAGGGGTGTAGCCAAGGCTGGGTTTCTGGCCCGGAATGGGTAAATCCCATCGTGTTGGGTACTGGAAGGAAGGGGAATGGACCCAGGCAGGGTCTGACTCCACGGAGAATCCGCCCGCAGCCGGAACCTGCGTTCTAGAACCTATACACACAGCAAGATGGCGGGCACCCGGCGGGCCGGGCCTTTCTCCCCTGGAACCATCAGAGGCTCCGGCTGGGAGCCGACCGTAGGGACGGTAGCCCACACCGGCAGCCGGATCTGGGCTCAGCGCCGCTCCTCTTCTGCTAACTTCCACTTGGATTTCAGGCGGCCGCTGGGCCTAGGCTGACTCAGCACCGCCACAGGCCTGGGGCTGTGGTGCCGGTGTTTTGGCAACGAAGACGAGGGCCAGTGCTGTACTGCAATGAGCACTGCTCTGAGAGTCGGATTCTGGCGTCTCCGCGGCCCACAGGACTTTTAGCAACTGGATCTGTTCATAAATCATAACCCAGGCCCAGGCCCCGAGCGAGTTGAAATATTTACAGGGCGCATGCAGAAGACCGTATTTGGAGATTTCTATATTTGTTTTTATTTTTAGTTTTCGTGTTTGTGGAGAATATTCGGTTTATCTTTTCCCCTGGAGTTGCTTTGTTTTATTTTATGTTTTCCCTCTCTATTTCGTTGCTTTTGGCAGGAAACCCACACTCTGATCGCAGTCAGAGCCGGTCCCTGGCGTTTGGGTCGTTATTTCCCCCAGTGCCTACACCAGCAGACTCGCAGCCACGGTTGCCTGCCCTCCCGGTGTCTGTCACCTAGCCGGGGAGCCGCGGTTGGCAGGGGTGGGCGTGGGTGGGGAGGTGGATGTGGTTTGATGCCTCCTGTCTCGCGCTGGACACCGTTGTGGGCCCTGGGGCTGAGAGCAGCCGGAAGGCCGCAGCGCATCCCTCCAGCACACCCATCGGCAAGGATGGACCTGGAGGTAGCGCCTGCGGCCCTTGGAATCTGTGACAGTGCAGTGTGGGGTCGTCTAAGCACCAAATTCTAGTCCTCGCCATTTGCGTGCATCATCTGCAGGGAGAATGGGCGCCAAGGCAGGCCTGGACGCTGTTCTCTCCGTTGCCTCCTGGCCCTGAGCTCCCTCCTCGTTAGATGGGTTTCTTTAATTTCTATTTAACTGGGGTGGCTGGGGGAGAAGCATATGAATTTGACTTCTATCTCCCATTTGTAAAAATTGACTTCCGGGAGACTGTAGTCGGTTTCCTGGCTGTGGTACCTTTGAGCTAGAGGATGTGAAGGCCAAGAGAACCTGCCTGGGAATCCCGGAGTCCCCGGATATCCTAGGCGCCTGGCTCATCTGGGAGGTCGGTCTCCGGGACGCTCCCACAACCCCAAAGACGCCTGGCATGTCCCGGTGGCATGGGGCACCTCGGAAAGAGATGGCAGCCTCAGGCGGGGACCTGATCTGTACAGCCAAGAATGGGAGCACCCAATAA